AGAGATGTTGCATCTCTTAGCATTTTCTTTCGCATTTACCATGGGGAGTGCTCTGAGGAATTGTTCGGATTAATCCCAGCCGCCAAATTTCACGAACGCACATCGCGGCAGAACTCCCTATACCATCCACACCATCTGGATGATTGGCGGTCCACCACTGTGCGATTTAGAAGATGTTTTCTTCCTTGCACAACTTCCTTGTGGAATAGTTTACCACCAGCGATTTTTCCGGACCGATACGACTTAGCGACCTTCAAGAAAAGAGCCTACTCCTTTTTAAAAGGCCGCCAACGCATCTGCAATTCCCCTGGTGTTGCGGTTGTTCATGGGCGGCGGTAGTCACTTACCATCAGGTGAGCCGCACGCTCGTTTGCCCCCTCTCCTTTAAAAAAAAATTAAAAGGCACATAAATCAGTTAATGCTTTATAAAGGGCGTAATGGTGTGGGTATTAAACAACCCTTAAAACAGGGTTCTTGTGGGGCAGCTCCTCCAAGTGCAGCGGATACCACACAGCCAACCTCGCCACTTCCGTCGTCACCGCTACGGCCGTTATCGTTGGACATTTCACCACCGCCACTTACATCTTCACAGTCGCCAGGGTTACCAGAAACTTCTCCGTATAGCGTGTCGCGAAGTTCGGCTAGAAGTGCAGAGATGTACGAACCTAATGACTCTGTTTTGACAAGGGAGGACGAGAGTGAGAACGTTCAACAGTCTAATGAGGAGGTAACAGAGCCTGGTTCCAACGAGTTAGGTGAGGAAGAAGCAATGTATTTTTTTTTTAAATAATGTATTGTTGTTGTACTAGGGGAGGGAATGTTGGGTATGTGTGCGTGGCTGCGCCCACCGCTAATTATTGTGCGAACAATAAACAGTGTTAAGCTAGCCAACGATCGTATCACTTGTCCGTCCCTATATCTTACATATATGTTAGGACCTAAGTATATACAATTATATTTTTTTAGGTCCTTACATATGAAATTGGCGTTTTGTAGAACTGGCAACTTTGATCTAAAATATCTGGCGTATGTTTAGGAATTCCAAATTCAAATCTATTTCAAACTTAGACTTGTGTATTTGTGTTTCGACATTAGTTATTTATTTGTTTTCGTGCTATTTAATTTTTCTTTTGGTTCACAATATGGGAAATTTAAAATATCAAGTTATTTACGGGTCCAAGTTCCACCGTGTTACCAGTGCTGCAGAAACAACTCGAATGATTAATGTGTATTATAAAACCATTCTAATTCACCATCGGTTTTCCATCAATTTCACTTGCCACTTTACAAACAAAATGCCACCTAGCAGCTCTGGACTCAATGGAAAGGCGTGCTTAAAGACTTATTGGTGACCCGAATTTAGTTAAAACCAATCTTACCAGCTGAGATGCCATATATTGGGCCATACACTTTCACTGGCCGGAACACGACAAAGTCATTTGGCGGCAAGACTTTGCAATGGTGGGTGGTAAACGAAAAGCCAGCGGCCGAAACCTACCACCGGAATTGATGCTGCTCGTTTAACACTACTCGGGGGGCACGTGTAGGCTGTCAGATTTCAAGTATTTCCTACGGACGCGAGCAGCCTCGTTCTCCCAACAGCCTCGTCCCCCAATTACTAATCAATTTTTATTTTCAATTATTATTATAACTCAATAATAACCATGAATTGCATTAGAAAATTACTGAATAACAATCATTGATTTTCGTGTATTTTGTGAAATTGTCACACACGTCATTGTGTAAATATCGTAAGTACGTATGTCAAGTAAAGATCGAATATTTTCACACGTTGACTAAATTGCGCTTGTGAAATATATTGATTATGATTATATCACTTTTGTTTGTGCTGATTCCCGCTTTATTTACCGTTGCTCTTTTTCCTGCTTTTGCTGACGACTTATGCTTTTATGAATATACGGACTCGATCACGCCTACTTATTGACTTACTGCTAATTACTACGGACATTCTGATAATTGCATCCACGATCCATCTCAAGATGCACTTATTGTGGTATTTGCGTCGATAGGATGCAGGGGCATTTTGGGTCCTGATTTAGATTTACAATCTTAACCATTCTTTCAACATGGAGATCTTTGCAACAGATATATTTAGTCTTATAGCTATTTATTTAGTTGATATGTGTTATGTATGTATATACATTTGTATACCTATGTATTACAATGCGTGGCTGTGCCCACGCGCCCTCTGTGAAGAAACCAGTGCATAGCAAGCTAGCGGCCGTTTAACTCGCTCCCTGACCGCATACTTAACATTGGCGACGAGTACCCGCGCAAAAAGTAATTAAAAATGGCTAATTCATATTTTGGAATATTATCCAGTTTTAACCACGATATACAGGAATGGAAAACTTATAAAAGCCGAATAAATCAGTGGTTCTTGGCAAATGAAATTAATAACACGACGGATCCGAGCGGGAAAAAGAGAAGAGCAATTTTGCTAAGTGCACTCTCGGAGGGTACCTATAGGCTCGCTCAGAATTTAGCCTTACCCAAGGATGTGCAGAAGGTGCCCTACGAAGACATCCTACGATTCTTCGACATCCATTTTAACCCGAAGATTGTCGGTTTCACGGAACGACACAACTTCTATGCAGCATCGCAGCAACCCGGTGAAACACTTTCACAGTGGGCCGCGAGACTGCGCGGTCTTACGTCACGCTGCGCTTTCCATGATATCAAAGAGGCCCTACGAGACCGGTTTATTATGGGAATTATGCCTAGTCTTGAGAAAGAGAAACTTTACGCCTAAGATATTACAAATCGAACTCTCACGAAAGCTGTAGAATTTTCTAAAAACGTCCGTTGTGCGAAATCAGCTGCAATCGCCAGTGCCAGTACAGCCGACGCGTCCGCAGCTTCTACTAGCGCGTTGTACAAGATTAGATCAAGAGATAAAGGTGCAAGAAGTGTAAAAAGTGATCTTCCGATAAAACAAAAGTGTAAAGTGTGTGGCTATACGAACCACAAGGCTTCGGAGTGCCGGTATGCGGATTTCGTATGTAGGAAGTATAACGTCGTAGGCCATCTACGTAGAATGTGTACGTCAAATAAAGTTAACTACGTAGATAATGGAGCCGGAGACGAAGACATCGATGATGATGGTAAGGTATTTAAAATTCGTTCGTTGTGGGTTAAAACAGTTAAAAGATAATGCAAAACCAGTTTTCTTTAAAGCGAGATCGATTGCATTTGCCCTACGGAAGAAAATAAACAGTGAACTAGATAGAATGGTTGAGTTAGGGGTATTAAAACCGGTTGACCACGCAGACTATGCGTCCCCTATAGTCCCTGTTTTAAAAAGAAATGGCACTATTCGCTTCTGTGCCGATTACTCGGTTAGTATTAATAGGCAATTAATTATCGACCAGTATCCTCTGCCAACTGCCAAGGAATTGTTTGCAAAGCTTTATGGTGAAAAAAAATTCACCAAATTAGACTTATCTATGGCTTATAACCAATTTGAGCTGGATGACGAGTCACAAAGGTACACTGTAATTAATACTTTTCGTGGATTATACAAGTATACTAGGCTAGTCTTTGGGCTTGCTCCAGCGCCAGCAATTTTTCAGCGCGCGATGGACAGGAGGGCGTGCTGTGTTTGTTGGATGACGTGCTCATTACGGGGCGTGATGACGCCGAGCACGCTGCACGCCTCCGGGCGGTGTTGCAGACCTTACAAGAAGCAGGATTGACCTTGCAAAGGGAGAAGTGCGAGTTCTATAAAGATGAGGTTAACTACTTGGGTTATGTTATCAATAAAAATGGGTTGAAAAAGTCTCCAGATAAAATTAAAGCAATAGTAGACTCCCCTGCACCATCAAATATAAGCCAACTGCAATCGTTTTTGGGCCTAGTAAATTATTATCGAAACTTTGTACCAAGTGTATCGTCTGTTTTAAGTCCACTTTATAATCTGCTAAAAAAGGGGGTAAAATGGTCGTGGGGTCTAGATCATCAAGAGGCATTCACAAAAATAAAACTGTTATTAGCTTCAGACCAGGTACTCGCCCACTTCAACCCCGAAGCAAGGCTAATCCTGACTGTAGACGCGTCTCCGGTTGGCTTGGGTGCGATACTGTCGCAAGTAGGTTCCGACTGACAAGAAATACCGATTTCGTTTGCATCGCGAACCCTAAATATCGCGGAAAAACGATATTCACAAATACAGTAAAAAGCAACCGCAATTATATTTGGAATTCGGCGCTTCCATCAGTATTTGTACGGTAGAACAAATCCGTTCGTATTAAAAACAGATCATAAGCCACTAATTTCGATATTCGGACCGTACAAAGGCATTCCGGAAGTATCGGCGAATCGACTACAGAGGTACGCAATGTTTCTAAGCGCGTATAACTATACGATTGAGTATATACGAAGCGCTGATAACAGCGCCGACTATTTGTCTCGCTCAAGTATTTCGGAGGCGAGGCGCGCGCCCGACACGGGTGCAGGCGCACTCGATACGTGCACTGCGGACGACTTCACTTCGAGCGACCGCGCGGCTTACGTGTGTTTTGTGGTCAACACGAGTTTACCGATTACGGTTTCGGAACTACGGGATGAAACAAAAAGGGACAAAATTTTTATCTAAAGTAACCGAATATGTTAAACACGGTTGGCCTAAGAAAATAAGTGATTTGTACCTTAAGCCTTATTTTTCATGTAAAACGCAATTCTCGGTTGAAAATGGATGCTTAATGAGAGGTCATAAGATCGTGATTCCCGAGACGTTGCGTAAAAGGGTGTTAGCCGAGTTACATAAAACACATCTGCGTATCGTAAAAACCAAGGCCGAAGTTCGATCCAGATTTTGGTTTCCGGGCGAGGATGAGCACGTGGAGCATATGATAGGGACATGTGAGGTATGCATCAACCTGCGGCCATCCCCTCCGCGCGTTCCGCCGGCCCCCTGGCCTCGGACACACCACCCTTTCACCCGCGTACATATGGATTTCCTGAGTCCCATAGCCGATCGAATGTATTTAGTGGTCATTGATTCGTACTCTAAATGGCCGGAGATATACGATACAGCTAGTTCTACTTCCTCCGATACAGTCATTGAAAAGATGTACGAATTCATGTCTAGGTTCGGCATACCGCAAACGATTGTAAGCGACAATGGAACATCGTTTACTTCACACGAATTTAAACGTTTCTGTGAAATAAACGGGATATCACACGTTACGTCGCCACCGTATCACCCGGCAAGTAACGGTCAAGCCGAAAGTTATGTAAAAATAGTCAAAAAGGGTATAAAATCAAGTATTATGTCTAGCAGCAACACAAAACAATCAAAAAACAATTTATTAAAGTTTTTGTTTGATTACCGGAATTCAAAGCACTCGACCACCGGCATGTCACCCGCCGAGTTGATTTTCGGGCGAAAGCTAAACTCGCGCTTAGACAGATTGGTACCTACGTCATCGCTCTTTGCGTCTGCGGCTTCATCCGATTTGATAAATGCGCAAAAATGTCCACAGAAGGAAGAACCAGTACGTATTAAGTAAATGCTACCTGGAACTTTCGTTTTATATAAAAAATATGTAAATAACAAGTTTAACTGGTGTAAGGGAACGATAACAAAAAGAATTGGCAAAGTTATCTACTTAGTAAAAGATTGGGACACGCAAATATGTTATCGAAAACATAAAAATCAATTAATTTTATATAAAGCTCAAAGTAATGACTATAACGCATGGGACGTGGACGCTTACGAGAAAGGGAACACTTGCGCCACCGGAAACACTTTTACACCACCGCCATCGCTGCCGGCATCACCATCACTATCACCATCATCATCATCATCGTCACCACTTCATCCGGCGTCTACCATAGATCCCAGCCCAGCAGAGCGAGAAGGTTCGCCACGTCGAGGGGAAAGTGATGAAGCAGAGAACCCTGTGCTGCCTCGGTCGGAGGAGGACGACGAGTTCCACGAAGCAGAAGCAGATTTTAATGGTGGTCGAATCGAAGCTACTAGAAATAGACTGCGCCCTGTCCCAAGGTTGATTATAAGCGTTTCTTTTAGGTTATAGTTGTCTTCTTTATTATAATTTATTTTATTCTTGTATTTTAAAATAGGGTGGGGAATTGTTAATTTAAAAAAAATCGCAAGTGCTAGAGACTTCAAATTATATAATTTGGATGAAGTAATAAAGTAAAATATTGCATACGGCATTCGTGTACACCACACTTTTGGGTGGGGCAAAGTTCTATAGAGAATCTGGCATTCTCCTTTCCACCGCGCAGCCCCAATGCGTGTTGGCGGATTTCATATATTATTCAAAATAATAGTTTTTTTACCTATTAAATTGCCGTTCTGCAGTACTGACCATTTCAAATTATAATTTTTGTTTGACTAAGAATTCTAACTTCAAAATAATTTTATTTAAACCATGGAAATCTTCTTTCAAAATTATTCATTTGCTTATTGAGTTACCATCTCATTTGAAACTTTTCATCATCATGGCTACGTTAAAAATTCAAGTAATTATAAAATATAGGTACCGTCGTGGCAGTGGCACAAGCGGCACGCAACATCAACGAAGTTTACGCACCGAATTGTAAAAATAAACGCACCACCTGTTAATTGTTTGTCAAAACTAGCTTCAAAACAATATTGCTCCATTTACGTCAAATGGCAAGATTTTTATCTTTTTAGCTTGACAAATTGGTGAGGCAACTATTCACGAACTCAATGATCGTCAGCGCGAAGTACGTGTCGATCATTGGGTTCGTGGCCTTGCACTGTTCAACAGGCACATAAACTAAGGAGTTTTGAGCACAAAGAAGTTGGCTTGGAAGTATGACCGCTCATATTAATGAATAGGTGCACATAATTGCTCACTAAATGCTCAATTCAAATCCGCAACTGGTCACATTATTAATCTATTATTTAATTAGTTATTAATAATTAAAAGTATAGAATTGTATTTGCCTATTATACTCACAATTGCTCACAAAATGCTTAATTTAAATCCGTAATTGCTCACACTATTAATAAATTACTTATTTATTTATTAATAATTTAAAATACAAAATTGTTTTTTCCTAAACCGATCAGATTAATGAATATGCGCTCGTAATTGCTCACTAAATGCTCAAGTCAAATCTGCAATTGCGCACATTATTAATTTATTATTTAATTAGTTATTAATAATTTAAAATACAAAATTGTTTTTGCCTAAAAAAGTTTATTGGTTTTAAGTATAATAGGCAAAAACAATTCTGTATATTTAATTATTAATAACTAATTAAATAAAAAAATTTATAATGCGAGCAATTGCGAATTTGAATTGAGCATTTACTAAGCAATTATGAGCGCATTGTCATGAATCTGATCGGTTTAGGAAAAAACAATTTTGTCTTTTAAATCATTAATAAATATATAAATAATTAATTAATAGTGTGAGCAATTGCAGATTTTAATTTAGCATTTAGTGAGCAATTTATAGCACTTATTCATTAATCTGAGCGGTTTAAGCAAAAACAATTTTGTATTTTAAATTATTAATAACTAATTAAATAATAAATTAATAATGTGAGCAATTACAGATTTGAATTGAGCATTTAGTGAGCAATTATGAGCAGTTATTCATTTTAAAAAGTTTATTAGTTTTAAGTATAATAGTCAAAAACAATTCTGTAACAATATTATCTTGCAAACCACAATTTTATCTTATCATACAATTTGCCACGCTGTCATTCAGATTCAGCCCTTAAAATACTCTTATGCTTTTTTTGCTACATCCAACTTTCACTACCATACCTTTAAGTAGGGACTAACACAGCATTGTGAATTTCCATACGTGCCTTTTTTATACATTCAGACTTTCCACAATAGAGTGTAGAGCCCCATTTACTCTATTTCCTGCGTACACTCGTCGTTCTATATCCATATGATAACTACGATCCCTACTAAGTACACATCCCAAATACACAAACTTATCCAATTACTAAACCAACTCCCCCAACTCAACTATTTAATTTGTATATATTTTATAAAAAACCAAAGTTTCTTTGCAATCTCAGATTATATATATATATGTGAAATACAAACAACTGTACCTCGTTTTATTATGAGGGTACTTTGACAGTGATAATGAAATATTTTCTTTTATTGGGGCGTTTGTAGTCCCCTGATCAAAAAAGTTCAACTTTATTAGTTTAACATTATTTTTATTCATCATCGTCACAGCGCAACAGCCTGTCATAGTCCATTGATATCACAAAGATAATTTCATATGGGGATATTTGCTTTTTTAATTTATATTTTCCAGATGTTGTTAGGAAGACGCTGCTGCATATATCCTTTTCTTCTTTGATAACCACTATCACCTCTTTTATTATTTTTCATTGGTTTATATTATTTTTATACTTCATCGGCGAGACTCTGCTAGTATTAAGCCGCGTATTGATTACGCGCTCTAAGAGGTCGAACATTACCATTGGCGCGCGCTCCAGCCACGCGAAATGCATACCGCCTTGGAGCGCACGCCAAATTGAAGCGCTCGAACGTGGAGCGAGCCGCTCCATCTGGTGTCGGTTTTTTACTGCGCATCAACGTAGTGTAAGTTTTGGCGCGCGCGCGCCTGTTGGGACGTTTGTTTTCATTATCCGTGTGTTCGTTGCGTTCCGAGCTATGGATAACCAAAGTTGCCGTAAATTAATACATTTATATAGTTTAAAAGATCTGCTGTGGAATAGTAAAAGTAGTTTTTACCACAATAAAGCCCTCAGAGAATATGCATAGACCTATGAAAGCGGCAGCTGATCGTATACGACCGACATCCATGTTAAACGGTCAAACACTGGAGCGGCTGCCCCGCGCGCCAGTCGCTAGGTTAGGTAACTAAAAGGGCTATGATGAAATGCCTGACATTATGTAATTATATTAGCTCACTATACCCTTTAGACCGGAACTATGCTATTTGGCGTCGGAAATGGGTAAGACGGTGGTACCTATCCAGGCCAACTTATATGTAGATAAGGAGTCTCTTAACCTAGAGAATAATATTATAAGAATGTAACATCAATAATATTAGAAGTGGCTATTATTGTCCATGTCTACAACACGTATTTACTTTATCTAAACAAAAATATAAGTTTTCTGTTACTGGCCCTATTTTAATTAAACTTTCGATTATGTCAGGTACTTAACGTGATTCAAATAGCCGCACACGTTTTCCGATAGTTCAATCGTTGCCCAAGAGGCCCTTTCCAAATTAATATGCTATTACGCGATGGTTCGCAAAGTATGCTACAAATTAATACGAGCTTTTCACGCGATGGGCCAAATCAATTAGCAGCGCCGACATGTGACGTCATATATTAACACGCGAAGGCGTGATTGGCGATGGAAGTGTTAAAAAAATAGTGATGCGTTATAAACATAGCCTGGAATGTAATTTATACATGCTTTGAAGCATTGGTTTTTTAATTTTGACATTTCATATAAAATCACGACAGTAAGAAGTAATACCCGCGCGCGTTCAGAGTGGGATTCAACCTTTTGGAATTGGATCACGCAATGGCCGCTCGCCTGTCATAGCCTCGGTAGGTATAAGCACGTCGTAGCTCGCGAGACGTGTTATTTGACGTGGAGTTTTGCTCGTGCTTATTCTGATTATTTTCTTTGTTACTTTTCTGAATTATAGATAATTACGAGAGCGAACGCGAAATAATTCTGTCAGTTGATAGATTTTCGAAACAAGAATGAAGTTAGTTTTCGTAGTCATTAAAAGTAATATCATAGTTGGCAAAGAAATCTAGCGATTCATACAAATAAATATAAAGTTAAACATTTAGAACTTTTTTGTTTATTTACTTCGCTCTAGTACTGTCATTTTCAATTAACTTTATTTTATAAGCCACGTTCGATCTAAATGGTGTGACTAGGTTTCATCCCATTTAGATCTAACACGGCTTATAAATAGAAGTACCTCCCCTGACGGATTCCACGTCGGGAAAGCTGCCATATATCATATACTGGTATATAAATAAAAGCCTATTCGTCTTTGAAAGAAGTATTTATTTGGTTTTGACCTATTTATTGTTATGTGGTAATATATAAAACAACGAGATGGGCGGTAACTATTTCCTTCCTTTCCGAATAAGAAATGGTAAAGGTTTGTGTACAAAGAACAACGCTAAACAAAATAACAATCACGTAGTACAACGTGACGAGCATTGTATAAAGTTACTTAAGAACTCTCTTTTCCGCTGAAAATGGTGTTAAGAGTTTTTTTTTAATCTGTAGTAAATATAAAACCTTCATAGAAGTGTCTTTCATTTAAAATAGTCACATTCTAAATGAAAGACATTTTGACAGCACAGGTCCAATACTTTCAATTATATATTCATACGGATATTAATATATAAAGTTTATAACCATGAACACACACATACACACACACACCCACACCCACACACACACACACCCACGTATATATATATATATATATATATATATATATATATATTGTTTAGGCAAAATATTAACCATTTG